AGAAAAATGGACATACAACGATAAGCCCTTCATTGATGGCGGGAAACACGGGGTTTGCCCAGATGGAAAATCCTCAAATTCAGGTTCGATCTGAAATTTTGGACACCAAATTCAAATCTTCATTTTTCTCGGCATCATCGCCAGTTGTCATAACCCTAACATCCAATTCGAATGGCTCCGAATCAATTGGTGGTGAAAACACGCTTGACATTATGAAATATTCTGAAAATAGAACTTCACACGCGGAGCAATTCCAGGGGAATTTCACTTGCAATTCAAATCCACAAAGCCAGCTTTTAAGTGAAATGATTTTGCCGACTTGCTCTTCCTCTACTCAAGCATCTAATGATGCGCCAAAATCCTTATTTATTATCAGGGAGGACGGCCTTATTAAGAAGACACTCTCGATGACCATTGATGGCCAGCTTCATCATTTAGTCTGTTATTACTCAAAGTCTGACTTTTTCCTTGGGAAGGAATCGAAAGGTCTTCCTTCTATACCGCCTTCTGACCAAATAGTTGAAAATGATATTTCCGAAAGGACATTCTCATTATCTAGGTTTGGTCAAGCGTCGTTTCCTCAGATATTGCCAAAGACTTCGATTTGTAACAAGAAAGATACACACCTTAAAAGAAAAAGACGCCACTCTTCAAATTCAATTCCCTCGGATTACTCTTCCGTTGGAACAAGAAAAATCTTGCCCTCCACTGCCGTAGAAAATCTTTCTGGCACTTCAAGAATGGCTGGTATTAGGGCAAATAGCCATTCAGGCATCTTTCCCAATGCATTCTACACATTTCCACAGCCATCAGCCAAGAGTAACATGTCTTCTCAAAACCTCAATGGATTTTTAGCTACTCTTCCGATGCCAATGACCAGGGGATATTATTTTCCGAACTTTCCTACCAACAACGAACAAGAAAATAGTGCACACTTTTTCCCAATCACCACCGATCCCATCAGTAATGCATTTTCAGGTCCGAATGCTTCAATTCCTCTTTCCTCTAATGGGTCAATAAGTGAGTTTGCAAATCCTTCTATCGAACAGTGTCCCTTCCCTTTAAATATGTCCCATATTCCATTTGGAGACGGTTATCCTCAGTTTGTTCCGCCGTGGAACCATGATTTTTATATTCCTCCTTTTGTCTCAACACCGTTCACCCCGCCTACGGATTGTAGATTTGTCGGATCCTCCCCGACATCTGTGTCTTCATCGTGCAACAGCTTTTCAAGCTCGAGTGTGATGAATCCTATGGTGGATGTGAGTTTTTCCGAGCAAGCTTGTTCGCAAAGAATATCATGCGAGGAAAGTTCATCAAACGAGCTAAGTAGCTCATACGGCTATGATAACTATTTCCCATCAGAGGATATCTTGAATTCGAAATTTCCATCCGAAGATATTCTTAACTCCAAATTCGAGTCAGAAGACCTCTTAAATTCAAAGCTATTGCAGTCAGAGTCGATTTTTACTGACGAACTTTCGACAAATCCGTTTCTTGATTCGAATTTTGATACTGAGCATGTTATCCCCAAGCTTTCGGCCGATAATCCAAATGCTATCCCCAATTCGTGACAAAATTTTCTTTCTCACTGGATGTCAATATGTAGTTATAAATCATGAAATTCGTTGCTGAATTGTTATTAAAGTGTTGTACACTTTGTTATGGACCCAGTTTAAGGCCCGTAGTGAGCCAGGAGCCTATTTTACTTATCATTAATGTTGCTAATGAAATTAACACCACCAAATAAAAATAGCACCCATGCGTGGGTTTAAATGTCGATGGTTCCGAAATAGCGGGATCCATTCGCTATGGTTGGCACATGTTTATCAAAAAGCTGGTCCTAAACACTTTTGCGTTCAATATGTCACTACAGAAGGCTATCTTCGAGCCATTGATTGGCATTTTTCAACACAAGTCCGAAAGATACAATTATCCATTTTTCGAGCCAAAAATTTACCCAATCAAATCACAGTATCTAAGCCCCAATTGATGACATTTTTGAAACATCAATCCTGATCCTTTAAATTTAAACCAATGAATAATTTGTAAATCAAGGTTTTTTAATTTGCTTTATGCGGTTCTTTGTTGGATTCACTATTTTCCTCCAGTGTCTTCTTTCATGCTCATGTAGTTCAGGAGATAGCGACCCTGAGTTCGAAAAACGTTTAAGCTATTGTTTGGAAAGCTTTAAAAGTCATAAGCCTAATTGGCAGTTCCAATTTTAGCGCCCTAACCCTATTTTTTACAAACTCTTTTTCTGGAATGCTGAAGACGAGTGTAAATATCAGTGCATGCACGAACATTCTGAAGCTACCCGCTCTAATGGCGTGAAAAAGTATTATGGCAAATGGCCGTTCTTAAGGGTATTTGGAATGCAGGAGTTTTTCTCTGTGCTTTTTTCTCTCGGAAATCTCTATGTTCATCGAGCTGGATACATGCATCTTATTCAAACTATGAACATGATTAGGCTTAAAGATTCTTGTATATCTCTTTACACGTATTTCTATTACCTAAACATTGCTACTTGGCTTTCTTCGGCTGCTTTTCATGCACGTGATAAACCCTTAACTCAGTTTTTTGATTATTCCCTAGCACTCGCCAATGTGATTTACATGGCATACATCGCCATCGTTAGAGTATTTGTTAATCTTGGACCAGAATTTCTACGTTTGCTAGCATTAATCTTGGGTATATACTGGGCGATCCATATGTATATTATGCAAGTTTATCATTTTGATTATTCAAAGCACATGAAGCTGTGTGGATTTTTCGCTGCTGTTCAAACGTTCGTTTGGATATTCTGGTCTTTTATTGAGAATCGATCTTCTGAGGAACTTTCCCACCTATACTGGTTTTTAGAGGTAATGCTTTTATCGGTGTTGGTATCGGCTGCTGATTTTCCTCCTTTCTTCTGCAAACTTTTGGACTCTCATGCTTTGTGGCATGCGATAACAATGTTTGCATTTCCAAGCTACTGGTACTTCCTTGAATATGAGCTTATCTTCTCAAAACACAGGCGCCATGCGCTATTTTGAAATGGTTTTCATTATATGCACAAGCCAATTATTGAGATAATCCTGCGGTTTATGTTTTCTGTAAAAATAAACTTTAAAAATTAATAATTTTGACCTCTCGTTACATCTTTAAATTTTCAAAAGCTATGTCGTTGTTCTCTTTTTCCATGAAAGGGGTTTGTGGATCAATCAGGAAAAAGAAGCCAAGCATATGCCTTTTTTCATCAATAGTCGCTTCTTCGATGATGGGATATTTCGCATACACCAATTTTACCTATTCTGCTGGGAAATCCGTTGACCTCGCAACGACCGTATTTGGAGAAATCCTTGTGCATAAGTACCTTTCTCAGCTCTTTTCGAATTATTTTGGATTTTCGATCATTTGGGACCACAGCTCACTTACTACTGATGGAAAGCTGTGTTTATTGAATGTCACTTGTACCGGCTCATCAAACCAAAATCCGCCTTGCTCCTTCGACTTTTCCATTGGCAATCTTGTTGTCGAGCTCTCGCCGAGAAAATTTCTTTTCGAAAAATCGGGCATCATCAAGTCACTAGATATTGATGGAGTCACAGGCACAATCACTCAAGATGGATACTTTGATTACTCTTCTGGAATTCCGTACAAGTTTCCGTATGCTCCCAATTCGCTGTTTATTGAGGAGCATGTTCATGTTTCGAATTTAAATCTTTTTTTTCAGTATCCAGAGCCATACAAGTCATTTGATCTCCTCATTTTTGAAGCGCAGCTTCCACGACTCTCTTCTTATATGCTAATGTATGACATTCTCCAAGCACACTACATCAGGGGAGAATACGATGGCTCCCCTTTTGTGTATGCCATTCCGTCTGACCAAGATGTTTCGTCGAATTATCACATCAATCGACCAGATAAAGTCAAGTTTACCCCGCAAAACGAGTCTTTGCTTCAATTTCGAAAGCTTTTAATCGAAAAGGTCTCCATTTCCCACTTTCGAGAACACACCTCATCAACTGGAATTTTCAATCTCCTTTCAACTGGAGCAGTTGATATTAATGCTGTCATTAGTCTTCCATGCCATTTCAGTTTTGTTGAAAAATCTCCGACACTCATCGGAAACGCATTGCCCGGAAGAGTCGAAGAGATTCCGGACCAAGTAATTTCGCCTTCAATTACAAAGGTGCTTTTAGAAGACAATTCAGAGGTCTTGTCCCTTGAAAATATGCTAGCAAAAAAGATTTTCTCTTCCTCTAAATACAGTTCGTTTGCAAACACTTTTGATGGGGCTCAAAATACCATCCTATCCTTCCCGGACCTTGAAATTCGAAGAGGCGCCAATCAAAATTTAATCGGATTTTGGTTCCACGTTACGCTTCGAAACCTTTCTCTAGCAGACCATTTCTTCAATCAGCGAAGTCTTTCCATGGGCGAAAATTTATTGCTCAGATTTGTCGCGGAATCTAGACGCCATGTTCCGGTTTCATTTTCCTTTGAAATGAGCAAAACCGAAGATTTTAGTGGAGTGTGGACACCATATAATTCCGGACTGACCAGATGTCTCAAGAAAAGCTTTACATACGCCCTTACCAAGTACTTTGAAGCGGAGCGTAGTACATTGTCTTTTTATCTGAAATTTGGAGCCTGGTCTGCCTCATCCCTCCTTTCCAAGTCATCATTGATCTTTTCACCGACCTCTTTAATGCTATCCTAGTGCCATATTTTAAATTTTAGTTTAAAATTAAGTTTGGCTGAGCGTACCAACTGCTATTTATGGATTTCCTTTTTGAGAGATCACGATTATCATTTTTCCGGAATGTGGTTTTTCACAATCCTCATCGTCATTATTGCTAGATATTAAATTGATGGAAGATATTTTAAAGGCTCAAGGAAATACGGTCATGCAAGAAAACCCATTATCTCCCCTGTTGGTATTATATTCGGGGCTTTCTTACTTTTCAGAGCAGCCAGGTTTCCATCACCAAGAGGAAAATTCCTAAGCAAAAAGTTCCGAAAGAAAAATTGGCTTTTGGAGGTGCATTTACTGACCACATGCTGGTAATTGATTGGGTAGGTCCGGCTATTTCTGGAAAAACCGATTCCCTCAACCAACCGATCCCGTCATTTTCTGGCTGGGGGCAACCGAGAATCCTTCCTTATGGCCCTCTGGAGCTTTCTCCTTCGTGCAATGTATTCCATTATGGTGTTGAGGTAAGTGCCGGATTCCGCCTTGTTTTGCATATAATTTTCTCACATCCCCTCTCTAAATCGTATTATTGTCGATATTCCAATCACTGTGGCCACATCGAACTTTCAGAATATCGATCTTTACCATAGGTTTTTGAGGGAATGAAGGCGTATAAGGGGAAAGATAGAACAATTCGGCTTTTTCGTCCATTGGAGAATATGAAGAGGCTCCTCGGTTCTGCTAGGCGCATAACTTTACCAGAATTTGACATAATGGAGATGCTTGAAGCTATCAAGAAGCTGGTGCTCCTCGATTCAAATTGGATTCCAGAAGGCCGTGGATATTCTCTTTACATAAGGCCTACCATCATTAGTACTCAAGATACTCTTGGTGTGGGAACCACAAATAGAGCGCTAGCGTTTGCCATATGCTCACCAGTTGGGCCATATTACTCTACTGGCTTCAAAGCAGTTTCCCTGAAAGCAGAGACCGATTTTGTCAGGGCGTGGCCAGGGGGCACTGGCAATCATAAACTGGGAGGGTATCGATTTTGATTTGCTAATTTTCACAGCAACTATGCGCCCGGTATTTTTCCTCAGCTATTGGCAAACACTGAAGGCTTCCAACAAGTGCTTTGGATGATGGGAAAGGATGAAATGCAGGTCATGGAAGTTGGTACAATGAATTTGTTCTGCTTTTGGGTAAATGGGGAGAAAGGAACCTTAGAGCTAGTCACCCCCATTTTAGATGGCACTATCCTACCTGGAATCACTCGAAGCTCAATCATTGAGCTTGTCAAATCGATGCCCAAGATACTTGGTCAAGGAGACTCGATTTATGTTGTCGAACGCCCCCTATACATGCGCGAAATATCAATGGCAGTTAAAGACGGACGAATGAGGGAGATGTTTGGTTCTGGGACCGCTGCAATTATCTCGCCCATAAAGAGCATCTCTTGGCTAAATCCGGCGACCGAGTCCCATGAGCTTCTTACTCTTCCGCTTGATCCAATGGACCCAAGCCAGGAATCTGGGCCACTTGCAAGGGCGCTGTTGAAGACCATCTATGATATCCAATATGGCGACCTCCAATTCAAGGACTGGTCTGTTGTGATTGGAAATTACTAACAAAAATTATAAACTTTTATGGCTTACACACATACACGTCCGTTTTAATCAAGAAAAATACTATTTTGCTAAATGGTGTGAGGTTTATTATTACACAAGAATAAAGAAAGGAAGAATGATGGTCAATAAAACGTGTGGTTTAAATATTGGTGTGGCTGAGGATCCAAAAATAAAATCCTCTATATCTTCTATCAAGGTGGTTGCTTTAACTATAAATTGACGTGGCATTGATTTGTAACTTTCATGGTTTCGGGACGCCTTTACTGCCTTAAACGGATCTATTATTCCACTTCCATACAATACATTTGGATATGACAGGGTTCCGTTTGGGTCCCTAAATGAAATCACATCCAGTAGATAATGAGACTCCATCGAGTTGTAGGATTCAATTTGATCCCAACAAGAGGGACGAATAGATGTTTCATTGAGAATGGCAATCGCATCCTCCAGGTAAATCCCCGGAGAAATAGAGCGCATAAGTGCAATGGTAAAGGCAACAGAAGAGGCGGAAAAGGATGTGCCCTCCCCAATCACCTGCTCGAAAGTGGCCGTTTCATCGGGCTCGATATATTTTCCAACGGCAGTTGTCAAATCAATCGGTTCGCCTGGTGCCATAAAATCAGGCAACATGCGGCCATTCCAGTTGTATGAAGACATACCCCTAGCCGAAAAAAGGGAGGGATTTCCGGTTGCACCAGATACAGATCCTACAATAATTACACGGGAAAGAGAGCGAAGAATATCAACAAAATCGTTATCTTTTGACACGGAGCCAGCAGCCATTACTGGGATGATGCCGAGAATATCCCAAACCTTTACAATTCTCTTCCAAATTTCAAGTTCCAGAAGAGAATCGCGAAAAGAAGCATCTGGATCCAAAAGAAGGACATAGGAAGAAAGGACGACAACATCAGCACCTATCGATTGATCTCCATTTGGAGCAATAAGGAACTGAGCATCGTCCAACAAATCACAAAGACCAGAAATCGAAAACCCACCAGGCTGAGCTGGGGTGTAACCTGCGGCACCGATAACATGAGCGTTTGGAGCAATGGCTCTACCATTAATTCCAAAAGTCGAAGTGGCTTCTAGGAGCCCGCTATCATGAATCCTTTGCATGTCACTAATTTTCGCATTCGGTTGGGGAGGTTTATAGGCCAAGAGCTCTTTAGTGGAAAATGGACAAAAATTCATAAATCCCACAATGGATCCCTCTCCCTTGGTGGTGGACCAAGCTTTTTCGATGGATTCATCAAAATAGGAAGTAAGGTCATTGAATCCATTGTTTTTGTTAAACGTACATGGACCTTTATTTGGTTCAACGTTCATCAATCTGTCTTTTTTATCCAAGGAAACAATATCGACTTTTTTCTTTTTTGAAGCACCATTTGAGTACATATGAATATGAAATTTATAGTAGAAATGTTTATGTTCCGTTCTAGCATCATCATATGACTTTTTTTTTGATTTCAAGAACACTTCATACATGACCCATGTAGCGTTGGATCGATAATTTGCAAGAACATTCATAAGATTGTCGGAAAAGGGAACCACTTTCAGAATAAGAACATTGGAAATCCAGAAGGATTTCATTTGTGAGAGCGAAATATTGGCCTCTTTGTGTAAAGCCTCTTTAATACTGACTTGGGAATTAAGCGAGTGAAGAACAAAATTCGACAACATGTCTTTTTTCGGCGGCCTCTTCGTACTTTTATATCGGTATAAAGGGTGAGTAGGAGAAGAAGATGAAGGCGAAGCAAAAGGATATTCGTTTACATTAAAATCATCCGGCTTAATGTAGACGGAAATGTAGGCAGGTAYGGCGTTTAGGATTCGTTTCCAATCTGCACTGTCGTAAATTAAATGGTCGTTTGCTGATATTCGTACGATATTTGGCGCGTATCTCAGCAGCTCTCCACTTTCTAACAAAAGGGAAAAATCATATTGGACAAAAAAAGGTATCGCCATCAGTTTTACCGTGTGTATCAGTTCTGATGAGAAGGAATTTGTAATGGAGGGGATAAGAATCCCAAAAGCCAATAAGTAAATGAGCGCCAGAATAGTAAATAAAATTATGTACTTGTCAAAAGCTGGCACAAGAACTAGTGCAGATACGCCGCCTAAAAGGCAGAGACGGAATTTTAAAAAAGAAGGATTCTGAAGTCTAAACGATTGATATGAATGAAGGTCATTCCTCTCGAAAAAAAGAAATGGGATGGATACAAGGAGGACATCAAAGTAAAATATTGGAAAAAGGACTATCGAAATAATGATCATATTCAAAAAGGATAAATTCACGTCCTGCTCTGATATGAGATACAAAATTGAACATTGGAGCAAAGAGTATGGAAAACTAATTGATTTTTTATCTGCATTCATTTGGTAAAGTAGGAGCTTTATGTTTAGGAAAGAAACCAAAAACGACAAAAAAGAGGCCAAAATTGCAGGCGTCATATTTTCGATCAGCGGAATGGCCGAAAAATATTGCTGGATCATATTGCAACGACGAGAAAAAAGAAATCGGCCAATAGCAAATAAAAAGTAATAAAATTAAATCGAGACCGAAATTTTATGCTTAGCTTTGGCTATTGGATGGGCTCCATTTTTGAACTTCCCCTGTGATTGGTGTAAAACCCCCATTGATTGATATTTTGGAACCAATCCTGATTCGAAAAAGTACATATTTCCCAAAAGCATCGTTAATTTTTATGGGAATATTTTCGATATCCTCAACCATGAAATCCAAGTCGCTTTCTTCGACGGAGGCCTCTGCATCGGCTGAACAGATAGCTTCAGTTACACCCTTTAAAAGCCAACACCTGAGTATGATGATAGCTTTGCTAATTTTTAGGCGTCAGACAGGAGCAGTTTGAAACGATCTCAAAATGCAACCCCACAAAGGTGCCGGTCATTCTTGAAAGGGCACCGCACTCATCTGTCCCCGAAATTGACAAGACAAAGTATCTTGTCCCTAAAGAGCTGACGGTTGCCCAGTTTCTATTTCTAATTAGGAAACGCATCCAGCTTTCCAATGACCAAGCACTCTTTATCTACCTGAATGGACAGGTGCCTGCTGCCTCGGCCATATTTTCGAATCTGTATGATGAGCACAAGGACGAGGATGGATTCCTTTATGTTGTGTACACAGGAGAATCGTGTTTTGGTAACAATCAGAACTAGCCTATCGCCTGAAAATTGAATTAATCGGTTTTACAAAATTTCAAATAAACTATTTGAATGCAATGATATGTGGAGGCCATGAGAGCCGCATTCACGGGAAATCGTGCCTCCCACCCCTTGAAGGCGGGAGACATCCGTTTGCTATAGATTGCGGGCGAGTTTGAGAGCCAAATAACTAAATATGATGCTCATTTATTTGTATTCTGCTCAGCAGAACTAGAGTTGCTCTCCTGATTGGTGCCGTCATTTAGGGTTATAATTCCCTCTTTTACGAGATATTGTATTCGTTGCCTCTTGACGACTCCAGATGCCACAAGTAATATAAAGTACCCGAGAATGCTCACCGAGCTTATGATCAATGTACCGGAAATTAAAACA